CCCCCCCCCCCTTTTTTTTGGGGGGGGGGGGCGTAAAAAAGGGGGAAAAAGAAGAAAAAAAGAAAGAAAGGAAAAAAATATAAGCCCAGAACGCCTTAAATGTTATTTTCGGGCGTCTAGAACACAAAAATTTCGCGGGGGCATGCCCTCGGACCCCCTAGGACAGTGTTGTCTCGATCGGCCCAACTTTAGGCCCCCTTTCGCCCCCCCCCAACTTTCTGGACAAGTTAGGCCTATTAGATCTACAGAACAAGCACTGTTATAAGCATTCTTACCTTAATAAAAGGTGGTACCAGTGGCGGTCCTCACCATCCTTGAAAGTAAATCAGTTTAAATACAGAAATTACCTTAAAAGAGTAAATCAGGCCTACAATTGCGTTCGTAATAAATGACTTCGTCTTGTTTTTCTCAGTGGATGTTTTATCAAATTCCAATATACATTTACGGGCATTATGGTACCACTTGTTATCTATTCTCATCCTGTTATTAACTTTTAAGTAAACTTTGAGAGCGATATCTCTGTGACGTCACTGACCAATTGCCAAAGTGCGGTTGCGATCCGTTAGGTATCCTAGACAGGAAATTTGTCCACGAAACTTCTTAATATAACAGTTAAGTGTGTAACCTGATATTGCAGAGGGTGGGATTTACTTTTGGCATTGCTACTCGTCTCCAGTCACTGCACGGCCACAGTTAACACAAAGTTTGACACCGGATTAGCTGTCCAGGTCTGATCGGTAAAATCAGAGAAACAGTTTGGTTCCTGTTACTAAGGCTGTTGCATGTGTTTTATTTTAGATTTCAGGCAACCACCTAATAACATAATATAAGCTTATACAAGTTCGAAGCAACGATATTAGTTACCGAGGTAAGATTTACAGTTATCTACTAACACAAATTCTGTATAGGCCTAGAAACAAATACTCAAACCTATCGTAGACAGTGGATTTTACCAGAGTACTAGCGCTATCTTTTTAAATCGATAATAGGCCTACATTTGGATAGTGGAGACCAGAAATTCAGTGCTATGATTTCTAAAATGGTGATGGTTTTAAATGTTATAAAAGAAACTAGGCCTATATATCTCATTGCATGTAAAGATTAACATTTTACTTATGGCTTATCAAGATCGGAACTTATGAATGGTGTTATGGTAACGTATTCATTGCTCTCTATACCACATTATATATGTATCCTCACTCAAGATGTCAACTGAAACTCCTCTCCAAATCTAAAATAAAATGTAGTGTCTACAGCATATTTAACTGCGCATGACCAAAAACTTCCAATTCTAATGGTACAAATTCTACTTTCGCACGGAGAATACTCATTGTATACTGTAAATATATAGCAAGTACTGTAACAGTACCGGTAACGTTATTTACTGTCGTTAACAAACATTCCTAATTAGGAAGCTTCTTCCGATGCATCATCCGCAGTTGCTCATTAATGAATTTATTCATTTATTTATCAGGATGCCTCGGTTATTCATTTTTTTAATTTGGCATAGGTGAAACTAATTTCACTCTCACTGTAACAGTACTGTACTTGAAATGTGCTATACCGTAGTCCTCGACGACGCACTTATGTATTACAGTGATTTATAGACATAAATTAAAGTTGACAATATAAAGTATTACACTTGCACAACGAATAATTTGAGTTTGTTTCTTTAATAATGTTGTTATATGTTATTAGAAGTTTAAGAAAATCATATGGTGATAGGTCTATATATTATATCTTCGCCATGCATTTCGCCTGTGTCATTGAGCAAGAGGTACATTTTTTAACCAGCCGCTATCAAACAGTGAAATTAATCACTCTTCAAAGTGGCAATCCCGTCACAAACAAACATACACACATGATGCTCTACATCTATAGACTAAGTCTTATTTTAAATCATCAAAGAAAGGCAAATACATGTATGTATTGTTCTAGGTACACTAAGTCTTATTTTATGGCTTAGGAGGTGGAGTGTTTTGGTCGTGAGAAAAAATCATGTTACTGTGACAGGAATTGATCCCAGGACCATGGGATTGGAAAGCAAGCATCTTACCACCAAGCTAGAATATTCAACTCCAATCGCATTGCTATAGTCTACCCAGCTGAATCGGGTACCAGAAAATTTCTTAGAGTACGAGGGGGACGACCAAAATATTTGTGTATAAATAAATATATTTATGCTCCCGAATTACGTTAACCTTTGTTTTCTGTCAAATGAGATCAGTCTCACTACATACAATTCCATTTCAATTCAATCCAATTCAACTTTTATTTCTGAATCACATATCCATAGCAAGCAATATAACAAAAGACTAAAAGAAATATCACAAAAGGATACATACATTCATACATACATACAAATATACATACATGTATTTACCTTTGTTTTATGATTTATATACAGATATACATATTTAATATATATACATATATACTGTATATATATATATATATATATATATATATATATGTATATATATAAACACATGCATACATATATAGTATAATTTTATATAATTCACTGTGAACCACCTGATGGTTTAGACAAAAATACTCCACTGAACGATCAAACCCGAAACAGTAAGTTCTAGTTATCTCATGAAATTTATTTCTTAAAAGAATGCTATAAAAGTCAAACCATAAATTCTAGATTTGAGTGAATTTCTTAACACTTTGAAATCACCGTTCAGTCACTGCCCAGATTCAATATACCTTGTCATAGTTCAAACCTGAAACTGTGTGTCTAGGCTGTCATGTGTTTACCAACTCAACTACTAAATCATGGCGATTGTACCATAAACGTTTAAATGAAATGACGTAAAAGGTCATTTTTATGCCATGGACACTCTCGGTAGACCTTTGTGTTGATATAATGTACATGATTCATGAGTAGGCTCTAGATCATTTTACTTTTTTCAATGATTTTTATGTATACACATTCATGAGATCATAAAAATATAAACTTATTTCATTTGAAACTAGAGCAGTTAATCCATATAATGCATACCTCCGCCGCCTCGTGCCTGGATACGGAACAATACGTACGCAGGACATGTTGGCGGTTTCATTATTTTTTTTATGTTCGTGGGTGAGTTTTATGGTGATCTATTCCTTAGTTTTTGAGTAATCTCCCTAACAGACAGACAGACAGGGGTGCATGCATAACCGCATTGGCAGAGGCCATAATAGCTTTTAATATTAAAGATTCATGCCCTGGGCATGTCCATTTATTGTGAAATTACCCATAGGAATACATTTCAGGGGCGTAGCAGAGTTGAAATATATATTATTATAATATATGACTTATGACAAAAAATACATTGTTAGACCAGCATATATTGAGTGTCTGATAGGCCTTTAGTAAATAAATATTTTATCATTGAATCTTGAAATATTCTACATTTTAAACAAAAAATACGGTATTTGTACGATTTGCTTTATGTTATAGAGCGAAGTTTAGCAATTGTTGAAATGTGTCCCATTCGACTTTGAATAATCGAATAAAGGAAAGGACCGGAAAGGAGGGTGGGTCAGATCGACTCTTCGTACTGAATTAATAATGTAAGAAATATTATAAAATAAAATGCTTTAAAATTGGTCAATGAACATATCAATGAAATGCAAATCGCTACAAAGTATGTAATTCTCGAATGTTTCGATGCATAATTTAAAAAAAAATCAATGAACTGTCAACCCTATCAGGTTTTATGTGGCATAAATCTGTGGTTCGCCCATATATGGGCTTTATGGTGTCATATCTAAACCCATATAGGCAAATCACTGATATATGTCACAAAAAATTTGACAGCTGTGCTAAAACTTTACAATTTGTATACACATTAAAGCTGTCTAATAAACGAGCGAAGGGCAGAAGTGAATTATTTAAGATTATTAATGAATGTTCTGCTGTACTAAAATGATCTTTCCATATAAGTGAGGGATTTTATTTTAGATATTTCTTGTGTATCTGTGCTTTAGAATATCGAGGATTCAAATGAATGATATCACGTTGATTCCTATATTCAATAAAAATAAGCTCTCATTAGGAGCGCGTGTCTAAACAGTCGGGAGACCAATCCGATAAAATGGTAAAACGGGGCCCGAGCGAGATAAACCTTTGAGAGAGGTGCATGGTGGATATTGCATCATAAACAAACTTTGTTTATGATGCAATATCCATCATGCACCTCTCTCATCGGATTTACTCTCACAAGTAAACTTCCAGACGATAGCAAACTGTCTACTGATCCCCGGGCCCGCAGGGGGAGTAGGTACAAAACGTTTGGCGATAGGCTTCTGCTACAGTTTGTGAAGTGTGTTTATCAGAACATTTTATTTCCAAGGGCGTGTGTATGTAATTTTGTGGTTAAGAAGAGTTTGAATTCCGAATCCTTTCGAAATCAGAATTTTATTCTTATACAGTACTTCTAATGTATCAATGGACTGTTCCGCTAAGCCTCGCCTCATTGATAGTGTTGCGCGGTCCCACAAAACAACGTAAATTTACGCGAACGCGTATGGTTTTGGGACAAGCGCGCATTATTGGCCCTGTTCTGATTAGTCAGTTGTTGAATTTGATTGACATTCCGGCAAGGTCCATTCCATTCAATTAAAGGCTAGTCACTCGCTGTTGGATGAGAATGATTTTATTTTATCAATATTAGCATTTAAAAATGTCAACATTCACAGAGTTTCTCTAAACTCATCGCTCGTATTTTGATTTCTCATGTGATAAGGATTACCAAAGTTGTGTTGCGTTTAAATTGCAGTGTAAATCAAACTTAACTGTTAACGCGATGCTCGCGTCTAGATGCAACGTTAGACTCGTTGACGTAAATGCAAGTAAAGCCTGGTTTCCATAAAATCGCTACATGCAATCGCTGCTTTCGGTGCAACTGATTGGTCTGTCGAATCGAGGGGCCTTCCCGATTGCGTCGGGGACTGCTATGCAGTACAACGATTGCACTAAAAACACTGTAGCCACAGTGTAGCGATTCTATGGAAACCAGGCTACCACGCCTACTTCGGGCCAACCCGGCATTTTACCTTGCCACTCACTTTCGCCCCCACCCCAGACTCTGGCACCGCCACTGAAACCATTAACCATTACTAAATAGTAAGCCTATTGCTTGCGATTGTGTTAACGGGGTTTATATTAAAATGATACGCGTAAACAAAACTTACATTTAGACAACGCTCTGGACATTTCATTGAATAAAGCTTGAATTGAAAGATGAAAATTAATTATTCAAAATTCAAATGACATTTATTCAATGATGGTAAACAATACAATAATGTTATACAATACAAACAAAAGGGAAAATAAGTAAAATTATATAATAATTGGGATCATGATTAGAAGTACAACTTGTCTCATCATGACCCCATGACCTGTAAATGTGGTAAAATAATGTAAAATAAGTATTATAAAGGAAAAGTAGAATTTGTTGTGGAAAAATGAACTTGAGCCTATTAATGATGCCAATAGTTTTAGATATTTTTTAGAAATATTCTTGTGACTGTTCAACTTTTCTTGGATGTAGACGTCGAATGGCAAGATGGTCACTCGTAAGCATGAGCGTTAAGTTTGTTTGTTCATTAATTTAATATTATTATTATTATTATTATTATTATTATTATTATTATTATTATTATTTAGGAACGTAGATTATGAAATATTGTTCCGCCACGGAATTACTGGATTGTGTTTGCAATGTTCTCGTTTCTCTTAGTTATTGATGGCAATCATCGACAAATGTCACTGTGAGATTGACAGAGAATTAGGCCTATAGCCAAGATGAACAGTGGCTAATTATGAATTTCATGCAGTACCGTATAGCAGGAAGTTAAAAAATGTCATAATAT